TCCATCAGGAGTCGGTGCCTCCAATCAACAGACACAGAGAGCAAGGGAAGCCCAGAGGGGCCTCACAGCCTCCCTGGCCCACCACTCAGGCCTGCTAGTCCACAGCCATCAAGGGGGACCCTTACACTGGCAGCCACAGGTCTCAGGCAGGAGCAATCCAGAGCCGAGCAGAAGGCAGCCCTCTCTTTTCCTCTGCAGACCCCCCTTTGGAAAGACCTTTGGTAGAAGTGATGGTGGCAAAAGAACCTTTCTCCTGAGGTGTCACAGTGTCCCTGGCCAAGGGTAGCCATGCTCAGCACAGTCAGCTCTGGCTGCTCCCAAACCTGAGACCCTGGCAGTATTTGGCAGCATAGCTGAGGCCCCTGGAACCAGGGGACCCTCCAGGAGGAACCAGGGGAATTCCAGGAGGAACCAGGGGGCCAGGGAGTCTTGAAATGTGCAAAATCATGCAACCATAGATCTCATGCTAAGTGTTCTTACCACATACAAAAATATTAATAATAACTAATAAAGTGGGGGAAGAACACTGTTGGACATGACAGATATGTTTATAACACAGACTGCAGTGAGGGGTCATCACGCCACGCATCTTGATGATTGTATCTTCAAGCTCGAGATGTACATGTTAAACACGTGACGTTTTGTGTATCAATCTTCAATAAAGTGGCCTTTAAAAAAAACCGGCCAGGGGTCCAGCAGTTAGTGTAATGGCTATGTTGCTGGACTCCCATGTAGTCGACCGTGGTTCAAGTCCCAAACCCGGTGGCTTAAACTCATGCCAGGTGCATGTACATGCATGCCTAAGATCCCGAGAGGAGAAAGGAGAAGAAGAGATTGTGGCGTGGCCATCCTCCCTGGGGAGCGATTCCTCTCTTTCTGTTCTCTCTCCGTCTGGCGAGCATACACGCCCTATAGCAAAAGCCTCTGGGAAAAAAAAAGAAAGGAAAAAAACTGGCCAGCCACAATGACGCAGAAGTGACACAGCACTCCACGATGCTGAGGTCACATGGGAAGGTTGTAGGTTCTTATACCAAGGTCTCCCTGTGCACACCAGGGAACAGGTGTGTGCCTATGACCCTAGCTGGCAGAAGCTGGGGTTAGATCGTGGCATGAAGACTCTGTTAGGGGTGCCCCAATCTCTCTCTCTGCATCCTTCTCTTACAGAAGAAATAAACAAATATATATTTTTTTAAAGAATTATTTATTTACTTATTCCATTTGTTATTATCATTTCTTCTAATTTGACCAAAGAGAGACAGGGAAAGGGAAAGTAGAAAGCAAGCCACCAGGTCCAGGACTCAAACCATGGTCAGCCAAGTGGGAATCCAGCACCTTTAACAACCACGCCGCCACCTGTCGACCCTAACAAATATATTTTTAAAAAATGTACAGTGAGGAGCCAGTAGGTGGCCTGGTGGTTGAGGCTAGACTCCCAGATAGCCTGAACAACGGTTCAAGTCCCAGCTTGCTTTCTTACTTTCTCTCCCTCTCTCTCTGTCTCTCTGGTGAGCACACATGCCCTATAGTAAATTTTAAAATAATAATAATAATAAAATTAAATAATTATTTTTAAATGCAGAATAAGATGTGAATAAACCAAAAGAGCTCCTTAGAAGAGAGTTGGGAATTGTAGAAGGCAGCCAGTAAAACATCAAAAGGTGGTGGGGCCAGCAGGTGGCACAGTGGTTAAGGTGCTGGGCTCCCCCATGGCTGACCACAGTCAAGTCCTGGATCTAGTGACTTGAAAATCACGCCAGGCATGTGTGCGTGTGTGGCCAAAATCCCAGGAGGAGAATGAAGAAGGGATTGTGGCACGGTAATCTCCACTGGGAGGTGATTTCTGACATTCCCTCTCACTGTCTCTCTCCCTCTCTCTCCACCAAGTTCACACACCCTATGACAAAAACCTTAAAATAAAAAAAATCAGAATGTGGGAAGTTGGGGCTGTACAAAGGGGGCAATTGTACCTAGGGATTAAAATGGAATGCCTTACATTAGCCACAAATCGCTGACCTCCTGGACGTCCACAAGAAGCCCTGTGCTTTCCCGGCCGCTCCAAAGGCAGCCCTTCAGCTGCTACTGGGAGACCAGGGTACAAAAAGCAGGTCTCCACCCTGAGCCCCGCCCACTCACAAGAGGGGAGCACCCTCACCACAGATGGCCAAAACCACAGTCCCAGAAATTACTACCGGGAAAGGGTTGAGTTTATGAAAGAAACTACATTTATCAAAGAAACTACACCCAATGATGCTCACAACTGGCTGAGTTAGAACATAGTTTCTAGGACCAGCAGGTGGTGTGGAGGTTAAGGCGCTAGATCTCACATGACTGACTTCGTGGTTTGAGTCCCAGACCCAGTAGCCTGAACTTCATTCTACCAGGCGCATGCGTGCAGGCATGCCCGAAATCCCAAGAGGAGAGTGGAGAGGGGATTGTCGCGTGGCCATCATTCCCAGGGAGTGATTTCTCACTTCCCTTGTCTCTCTCTGGTGACCTACGGCAAAAACTAAAAAAAATAAAAACAAAAGCAAAACACCTCCATTCTCCTCTGGCATTCTGGGCACACACACATTCCCAGCATGAGACCCAAAGCTCTGGGTCCAGGACTTACACTACAGTCAGCCATGTAGGAGTCCAGTGCCTTAACCACCACACCACCTGCTGGCCCCACAAAGAAATCGAAGACTATGATTTCTAGGAACTGAAAAGGAAGTGCCAGAAAAGAAAAGCAGCCCCACAGTTACAGCTTCCACTCTCCATTTCCCGTCCCTACTTTTCCTGTTGCGAGTGGACGTCCCATTTTCACCCACTCCGTCTGCTGACACATCGACAGGACTCAGAGGCCAGAGCAAACTCTAATGGAAGCAGCTTTTGGAACCACACTAAGAAAAATTGCTAGTAAAATCGAAAATATAAATCAATAAAATGCATTAACGATGAGGTCCTGGATGAAGCAGAACTCGTGCAGGCCAAGTTCTGCCTGCAGGCAGAGACGCAGTTTGTCCTGCAATAGACCGAGATGTAATCTACAGACAGTGATTTGCTACTCAGAGATGAAAAGAGCTACCTTTGAGCTGGCAGGTGGAATGGTGGTTAAAGGCACTGGACTCTCACATGGCTGACCACAGTTGGAGTCTTGAACTTGGTAGCTTGCTTTCTCACGTTCTCTCTCTCTCCCTCTCTGGTCAAATTAAAAAAAAAAAAAAAAGTTAAAATAATAATCAAAAAATATAAATAAACAAGAGCTACCTTTGAATTTAATGCACACTGGAGTGGCGTTTCTTTCAGTCGGTTCTGGGTCTCTGTGGATGCTCCATTTTGCAGCAACGTCTCTATAATGCTCTGGTAACCCCAGCGTGCAGCTATGTGGAGGGGAGTGTCTCCTTTCTCGTTGCCGATATCTAGCCTGCATGATTGCACATCGTAATAGACCAAAGCCTTCACACACTGGAAAGAAAGGGAAAGACCATCAAATAGGGTGCTAAGGGACCAGCAGTTAGCATAATGGCTGTCGCTGGACTCCCACATAGTCGACCGGGGTTGGAGTCCCGAACCCGGTGGCTTAAACTCACGCTGGGCGCGTGTGCATGCGTGCCCAAGATCCCGAGAGGAAAGTGGAGGAGAAGGGATTGCAGTGTGGCCATACCCCCTGGGGGGGTGATTTCTCGCTTTCTGTCTCTCTGTCTGTCTCTGTCTGGCGAGCACACGTGCTGTATAGCAAAAAAACCTCTCCAAAAAGAAAAGAAAAGAAAAAACAAAAATAGGGCGCTAAGCCTTGGGCACCATCCATGCTCTCCTGAGACTCAGCCCATGCGCTGTGCAACCAAGGCAGCATTCACCAGGCAAATGTGCAGCAAAGACAGCTAGGATGCGAGGGCTCCACGTTTCCTGATCAGGACTCTGCGCTGTTTCACAAGAACACAAAGGCCAGACTGGCTCTGTAGTGTAATGGTTAAGGAAGTTGGATCCTACATGGCCAATCGCAGTTCAAATCCCAACTGCAGTTCAAACTGCAGCCCTGGCAGCTTGAAAAACACTCAAGGTATGTGTGGGTACCCACCAAAAATCCCAATAGGACTGAAAAGAGGAAGAGAAGGGATTACAACATGACCACACCCCACTAGGGGTTGCTTTCTCCCTCTCCTCTGTCTCTGTCTTTCTCTGGCAAGTATCCATGCCCTCTGGTAGTTTAAAAAAAAAAAAAAAACAGAACCAAAAACAAAGAAGAAACTGCCAATCAATAAGAAATTATAAACTATGGGACCAACAGCGGGCATAATGGTTACATCGCTGGACTCCCATGTAACTGAATGTGGTTCAAGTCCTGGACCCAGTGGCTTAAAACTCATACCAGGCACATGTGTATTCATGCCCAAAATCCCAGGAGAATGAAGGAGAAGGGATTGTAGTGTGGCCATGCCCCCAGCGGGTGATTTCTCCCTTTCTGTCTCTTTGACTCTCCAATGAGTACATGTGCCTTATAGCCATAATCTCTCTTGGAAAAAAAAAAAAGGCAATGACAAACTAAAACCATGATGTCTACAGAATATGGTTGGCACAGCAAGCCTGAGACCACTATCGCAGACTGTCCCTTGGCCTGCAATGTTCCCTGGACTCGGGGCTGCTAGAAGCATCCACAGGTCTCTAAATGATAAGGTGGCTTGCTGGGCCTCAACTCTGTTCCAATGACGGGGTTCATGCTGAAGGCCTGCTTCGTGCTGGAATCGTGGGAATCTGGTACATGTGGGGCAGAGCACAACGTGTGGTTAGCTTTCCTAAGAATCTTAATGAGTGGGTCACCAGGTGGCGTGGTGGTTAAGGCTTTGGAGCTCACATGGCCAACTCTGCACTTCGATTCCTGGATCTGGCAGCCTAATAAATATGCTGGGCACATGTGCATGTGTGCCCGAAATCCCAAAAGGAGAATGGAGAAGAAGGGATTATGGTGTGGCCATCTCTCCTGGGGGTGATTTCTCACTTTTCCTCTCTCTCTGTCTCTCTCTGCTGAGTGCACACACCCTATAGCAAAAACCTAGAAAAATAAAACAAAATATAACAAAACAAAAGCCAAAGCACAAAACCAACATGCTTCCCTGGACACAAGACTTTATAGTGTTGTTACAACTCATGGATAGAGGAATTGAGCGCATGCTATGTGACTCCAGGGACAGTAGCCTGTGTGAAGCTTGCCCCTGGTTTCCTCCAGACTTCATTCATGTGCCTTTCATCTGTGGATTTTGCTCTGTCCTTTTACTGTAATAAACCACAGCCGCGAGCACAACTTAGCTGCACAGTCCTCTAAGTCCTCCTAATCACTCTACCTGCGGCGGCCACGGGGACTCTGACACAACACAAAGATCATCACACAGCTGTGAAAGAACGGGTTAGATGTGCAGTGACTGACCCAGAGCGTTTCCATGATGTGGTGTGTAGTTGGGAAAGCAGGTTACATAAAAATACATAGAGGACAATCCCACTTTCGTACATCGACCATCTAAACCCTCCCCGTGGATAAATCTATCTGTATATTGCTAGAGGCAGAAAGGCCAGGGAGAATGGGAAGAGAAAAATAGCACACTTAGTAAAACAGTAAGTGAAAACAGAAATTATGGAATGTCTCGATACTACTATAAAAATAGAAAATAGAAAAACTGAATGCATACCAAGTTTAGATGATAGCAGCGACGAATGAAAATTATTTCATTTCAGAACAGGGCAATAAGCGACTAAGTTCTAGATCTCTGTTATTTCAATATGGCATCTGTAATACATTTAACTTTCATTTTTAATTTAAAAAGAAAAAAAAAAAAGAAAGAAAAAGGACCAGCATCAAAGTCTATTACTAAGGGAGCTGGAACCCACACAGCTTACCACAGTTGGAATCCTGGCCCTGGCAACCTGGAAAACACATGGGCACCAGCCGGTGTGCACACATGTAGATGTGCCCCAAGTCCCAACGGGATGTAGAAATGGAGAAGCGACTGTGGCCTGACCACGCCCCATGGAGGGTGCTTTCTCCCTCTCTCCTTCTGTCTCTCTGCCTCTAGCAAGTGCATATGTTCTCGTGCAATTAAAGAAATGTGTGTGGGACCAGCAGGTGGCATGGTAGTTAAGGTGATGGACTCCTACGTAGCCAACTGCAGTTCAAGTCCCGGACCTGACTGACTGCTTTCTCATTTTCTTGCTCTCTTTCTCTCCCTGCCCCCTCATCTCTCTCTGATGAGCACACGTGCCCTATAGCAAATTAAATAATAATAATAAATAAAATTAAATCATTTTTTAAAACTAAAACAGTTGACGGTTTTATTTTCACATTTCACAATACAAATGAAAACTGCACTTTATCCCACTTCTCTCCTCCAAAACTACTCTTATTTTTAATTTGGTTTAATAGTAAATGGGAGAAAGTCTTCCTTGTCATGCTGTTAGAAAACACCCAGAATCACAGCACCATGACCTCTGGGGAAGTAGGACAAGTGAATATAAAACTGACATAAGAGGGACCAGCAGGTGGCATGGTGGTTTAGGCGCTGGACACTCCCACATGGCCGACCATGTTTCGAGTCTTAGACCTGGTGGCTTGCTTTCTCACTTTCCCTCTCTCTCTCTCTCTCTCTCTCTCTCTCTCTGGTCAAGTTAAAAATAAATAAATGAATAAATAAAATTTTAAAAAAAAAAAAAACCTGACATAAGCGGCCTCCCCTCCACCATTATCTGTCTGTCTGAGTCATTCCTGGCCGGGTAAGCACCATCATGGGCCTGGTGGGAAGTCTCATCACTGGGGGCCCCGGCATCACGGGCATGTGGCCTCCCACGGGTGGCTTCATTCCAGGAGCAGGTCCTACTGGCCTCATCCCAGGAGGAGGGGGGCCCATTCTTGGCATCATGGGAGGGGCCCCCCAGGTGGGGTGCTGGCATCATGCCAGGGTGAGGAGGACCCAGGAGACAGGGGAGGTAGGATCATTGCCCCTGCAGGAGGAGGAGGAGCAGAGAATGGAGTAGGAGGTCTCTTCTCATGTTGAAACACAGCCATTGTTCTCAGTCAGGCTGAGCCTGCTCTTCCATCCATTTCTGATAGGAGCCTTGCACATTCTCTTTGGGTTTCCTAGCACTGCGGTATTTTTCTCATGGGTGGAGAATCGTGGGTGAGGTATGTATCACAGGAGTCACAGTACAATTTAGGCACGTTGCCCTGCAGCCCGTAGGCCACCAATAAATACCTGTTTAAAAAAAGAAACAAAACAAACAAAAAGCCAGCCACTCCGGCTCAGCGAGCACACTTACGTCTTCGTGCCCATAGGTGCAGGCCAGGTGGAGGGGGGTGTTGCCGTTGTTGTCCTGGACCTCGGCGCTGGCCTTGTAGTGCAGCAGCAGCAGCTTGCAAAGGACAGGAGAAGGCAGGTGAGCACTGGCCACACAGCCATGCACAGCTGCCTGGCGGGGAGGCGTGTGCCGTCCTAAACTCTATTTACTTACGTTACCACTGATATTACATCCTTGCCCTTAACCTGACAGTTCAAAGGTTAATGAAAAAAGCCGACAGCCCCACCTTCTCTCCCCCAGCTGATCAGAAAGTTTCAAATCTAAACCAAAGACCATTCCCAGCAGACTCCAGCAGGTGTCAGCTTCCAGCCTCCTCTGCACCACCAAGGCAAAGCCGGTGTGGAACCTGGGGGGCCTACAGTGGGAGCCTGGGGTGCACCCCAGCCTGCACTGACTGGGACTATGAGGTCAGCTCGCAGGGCCGCTCCTCCG